TGAAAAGTAATCTGAAAACTGTCAGATTAACTGAAGACAATCTAAGAGATTTAAAGGGTTTACTTCAAGCATAAAATAGATTATCCTTAACTCTTAAAAAAGAGCTGCATCCATCCATACCTTCAGAGAATCCACTCTAAAACTTTCAAGAGAATTTCTTTCAAAGATTAAATTTTGTTTATAAGTAGCATTCTATAAAATGTACTCTCAAATTTCCTTTCAGATTTAAAAACTAGTTCTTGAATTACATGATTTGTGCTTACACAATTCTGCCTCAGACATACTCTTTCCCTATTTGAAAGCGGTTGTATTTGGGACTTTTTGAAAGATTTATGCAGAGAAAGGAATTAAGTACAAAAAACTTGAGAGAAGTTAGCTTAGGGATCAGATGCTCAGCAAGGCAGGCCTGATTTTAAAATGTATTTAGTGCAGCAATGTCCTTTAAAAAGTTAAGTAAATATAGGATAATGAGACTACCAGCCTTTCATGCCCAAGTATGTTTGATTCCTTCAACCTGAAGCATAGAGGGCATGGGAGTTGGAGGACCTTCCACTCTCTAAAGGATAATGTGTTCAATGTAATGGGAGGTCATTAGAAGGGAGATGTACAAAAAGACAACTATAAAAGATCAGTTTTACCCACTTTCAAATCTTAGACTAAGAAAAGGGAAGGAAGCTTTATTCCTTTTAGCCAACTGGGCCACTGCTATCAGAATTCAGAACTTAAATTATTGGGTTGTCTGAAAAGTCATGATGCATTTTTGCAACGAAAACCAAAAAATACGTTATGACTTCTGACAACCCATTAGAACTGTCTACTAACAGATTTTTACAGGTAGGTAGAGAACTAACCACCATTTAACTCTCTTAGAGGACATAATTCAACTAATTTACTATCACAGATGACGCTGAGAATCCATAGGAGGCAGAAAGGATGAGGTTGAATATTGGTAAATGTGTTAAGGCTTATGAGGGAAAAAGGAGAGGACATTGGAAGACAGAAATATTTGGGCTCCATTTTCATGTAATTAATGTTTCTGTGCGCAATTGCCAAAGCTGTACCTACCTCTTGGCCTGACCTATCGTCAGTCTACTTGCTGTATATTTCCAAGTGGATATCTTCTACATGCACCTCCAAGTTCAACATGCAAATAAAAATTATCTTCCTCCGTAATTCTGATCGCCCTCCAACGTTTCCTAATTGCTAGTTTTAGCTTCCTAACTGCTCAATTTGAAATATTTTTTCTTATCCTCCATTCAGTTGCTCATAAGTCCATGCTCTGTGTTCCCTCTGACAACGTCCTTTAGGCTTTCTCTTTTAAACTATTGAAATAGCCTCAAGTAGTGGTCTCAAATTTACCCTTTCCAAGCTTTTTGTATTTTCACCAGTTTTTTGAAGCAGGAATCTCATTCCTTTCCTCATAAACCTATGGCTCTGCATGCTTACAGGATAAAGTTTAAACTTCAGCATGACATTCAAGGCCCTTTAAGTTACTACCCTAACAACTTTCAATACATTGAATCTTCCTTCCTTGCACTTCTCTTGAGCTAATGGATGGATATTCCATATCTTTTCACACCACTGTCAGTTCAGACTTTTACCTTGGACAATTCTTTTCCTCTTTGTATGTCAAAGACTATTAAATATTTTAAGGCCCAACTCAATGCTATTTCCAAGGTGTCAGATTCCCAGCTAGACAATCCTTTCCACAATTAGTCACTATCTGGGAGAGACATTAACTTTTGTTTTTACCTTTTTAGCCATTTGTTGTGGGTAAGGGGGGGAGGTGCAGCTTGCTTTTTATATTTGTCACTTCTTGCCCACCCACCTATACTGTTCAGTTTAACTCATTCAAGTTCCATATTTGTGTACCATAGTAGCTTTACATTAAAATGTGAAAGGGGTGATTGATTCCACTGTACAATGTTTGAATACCTAAATGCTGGTCCTGATAAAATGTAAATTACTTGACTAAAACATTCTAGTCTTTTTTATAAACTATGTAAGCCACCCTAAAATTTGTATTTTAACTTACAAACCACCCTGAAGTTTGAGAAGAATGGTTCCTGTCAATCTTTCAATAGTGTAGTTGGGTCTTTTACCTTCCTTTTCCTGCCTAGAAGGCCACTATACTTAGCACAAAGATTAATGCAAATACAAGCAGCTCTGTTTCTATAGTGTCGCTTCATCAGTGGTATGAGTTGAATAAACTTGGAATCAAATTGCACAAATATATCTAAAAGCAACTTCAGTATAAAATACTAAGTACATACTAGTTATTTTATAGTGAAGTACCACTGCATGTAACAATTTTTTTTCCACTCACATACTATGCTTATAAACCTTTCAAGCCCTTTCAGGCTACCAGTTAAAATAAAAGTGGTTGAATAATAATTGGGTTGCACTATGGTCTGAATTCACTGTGAAGCCTAACCCCAAGGTGATGGTATTAGCCAAGTGAAGCTTTTGGGAAGTGATTAGGACATGAGGGCAGAGCCCACATGAATGGGATTAGTGCCCTTACAAAATGGGCTCCAAAAACCTCCCCCTTCCTCCTGCCATGACACAAAGACACCATCTATGAAGTAGGCTGTCACCAGACACCAAATCTGCTGGACTTCCCAGCCTACAGAACTGTACGAATTTCTGTTTATAAACTACTCAGTCTCTAGCTTTTTGTTATAGCAGCCAGAAGGGATTAAGACAGACTGTTTAATAGAATTTTACTCTTAACAGCAAAACTACTTAACTTTTAAATTTGTTAATATCGTTTCATTAACTATATTATCTAGTCTAATTCAGCCAATTTAGTTTACTCTTCAAACTATAAAGCCTATTATTACTTTATAATGTCTGTTTCCTTATGCCTTTAAAATTTTTTTAAGAAGATTTTATTGGGGAATTGGAGGGGGAACAGATAAGTTGCTGTACTTTTGTTCTTCAGTCTAGTTGTGGAGGACGTAGCTTCACTGGCCCATGTTGGTATTATCATTGTGCTCTTCCCTGCTGAGGTAGTTGCTCGCCAGCCATTGGATGGCCACTCATGGCAGCCCAGCTCCAGGTTGAGCTGTTGTTCACCATCTTAGCTGTAGAGGGCGCAGCATCACTGGCCCTAATGTGGGATCTGAACCGGGCCCTGCTGCTCAGAGCTGGCATCCCAAGCCAACTCTTAACCAATGTGCCACTCAGCTGGCTTCATGCCTTTAAAATTTTTAACCATTCTCTTTACCGGTTAACATTTCTGTTAGAAAGTCTTTTACAAGATTGAAAGCTCATCTCTGTTTTATTAGTTTCTGTAAATGCATTTTTTAAAGCCAGCTATATATGTGTGTAGGGTGGGTGGATGTGTATGTAATAATGAAGTACAGCCTTTTCTACATAATATATAAGAACAAAGCATATATATAGCCAGTGCCAAAGAATAATAGTTGGCTGGGTTATATATGAGCTGGATCTACAACACAGCACATCTATTACTAATTCTCTTGATTTTGTGGCGTCTGTAACACAAGTTATCATACCCTCCTGGCACTGCTCATCAAGTCAAAAGTGATTCTAAGTAAGGTGCCAATATGACTACCTACCTTTGTACACCCAGTGTCTTCCTCCCTGCCCATATGAACCAAATGGTACAGAAGGTAAGAGCTAAGACTCTTCCATTTACTTTTTTCTAGTAAGGATGGTAGCATCTTTCTCATCTATCTATTGGGTTGTCGGAAAAGTCATGAGGTATTTTTTGTTTTTTGTTGCAAAAATGCGTCATGACTTGTCTGACAACCCAATAGTTTAATTTATAGAACAGAACCATATGTGTGTGTGTGTGTGTGTGTGTATACACACCTCTTAACACCCTTTTCCTTTTCACGTCTAAACATTGCACAATCAGAAAAACTTTACTTTCTTATATGAGATAAACTTTAGTTTTGTAGAACTAAAAACTACATAGGGAAAACTGTGTTTTAGAATTTCTTATTGGAATAAACCTTATGTATGTTATTGAGTATAAGAACAAAGTTTGATGAAACAGTAGGTCAGAGATTTGGATTCTGAAGCTTGCTTGAAAGTAAATATGGCATTTTTTTGTTATTTAATTATTAAATGTAATTAATTATTAAATATACTTATTTAATATGGTATTAAAAATACATTTTACTTTATGTATTTTTGTTAAAATTCAATTATGCTTGGTTTGGAAGTACTGCCATTCAATGTCAACATAAACTCAGTAATATAAACAAATGTCATTTCTTTCACTGAAAACTATGGTATGGTTAAGTCAAATAGTACTTTATGAAACAGTTCATATATAAAAATATATTCTAAGTTATAAATTAATCAGCTTTACTTTTGACCACAACTATTTCCATTTGTAATATGGGGAACTCCTGAGCTGGCTGAGTGGCGCACTGGTTAAGCGTTGGCTTGGGATGCGAGCTCTGAGCAACAGGGCCCCAGTTCAGATCCCACATGAGCGCCAGTGACACTGCGCCCTCTATAGCTAAGATGGTGAACAACAGCTCAACCTGGAGCTGGGCTGCTGTGAGTCGCTGGTGACGGTGTAGGCTGCAGCCCCTGCTGCAGTGGGCTGTTGTGAGCTAGTGAGTGGCTGGCAGCCAGGGGGAGCAGCCAGCAGCCGCCAGCGACAAATATGCCTCACCCGGAAAGAGCACAATGATCACACCACCAACATGGGCCAGTGAAGTGAAGTCCTCCACAACTAGACTGAAGAACAAAAGGACAGCAACTTGTCTTGTTACCCTTCCCCAATGCTGTTCCCCTCCCCCAATTCCTCAAGAAAACTTTTTTTTTTTCTTTTAAAAAGAGGGGGAACTCCTCCCGTTAGAGGTAGTAGTGTTAATTATTGCATCCTCTGAATTTCCGCAGGAAGATGGACAATTACTATAAAATTAAAGACATTTAGCCAGTAAAATGAATTTAAAAATCCATCTAGTCACACATTCAAACATGAAAAACAGTCACACACAAAGAATCACGACTAGTTTAAAAGGGGGGGGCCAAATTATTATTATTTAAAAATTTGATTACAACCAATTTTGTTGGCATTGAAATTAAGAGATATTTTAAATTTGAATATGGATATAAATAAAAAAACAGAAATTAAGTTTGGTAAAAATGGGGAGTTTTCCAGTAATTACAGATTAGAAGGCCGAAATCAATTTAGAAAAACATAGACAAACCCCATGTTTACAATGATTGTGCCACAGATTTAAACTTCAGTAGTGCATTAGTAAACTGTTCACATTTAGATCATCTTGAGATGGACAGCTGTTTCTTGAGAAAAATCTCTCAGTACCTTGTGCAAATAAATTGGTCTTCCATGTGCCTTAGCGCACACGTAAAATTTCTCCATTGTATATATACAAAACACCTACCATTTGGGCAGGTCAAAATACATACTTTCATAACAAAACTATAATGTACCTCTCAAGTATGAACAATATACACATAACATGGTATACAGTATTTACAAAATATAAAATATAATACAAGCTGTTTGTAATTTTTTAAACATCTTTTGTACTTGTAAGTTGCAGCAAGGCAAATTTCCATTTCTGTACCAATTTTCAAGAGTCCAGGGTTTTTCGAAAAACTAGGTTTTACATACATACTGAAATCCGAGATCTAAGTTTGAACTTTTAGGAGAGTTTTTAAGTGTACTGCCATCAACTCCCTATTTTGGTTGGAATTTTCAATAGTGCTTCCCATCCAGTGACTAGGCGGCTTTGGAAGAACACTAGGAGAAGGACGATCACTAAACTTTGCTCCAGCGTAATTTTCCTTTTGGCTGACTTCAGTTAGAAATGCGGATTTCTTCAAATGCTTTTTTTTAATGTTCTCCATAATTTTAAAAGGCTTTTTTTCCTGTTTCTGAATTATATCAGATGAAACAGAATCCTGCCAAAAGTTATTTTCATTTCTTTTTGTAGAGGTGATCTTGGTTAGTGGTAAGTTATATCTGCTTTTCTGTCTGTTTATCTTTGGTTGTTCACACAAGTGCATGCCATAAACAAGCTGCCCGTGGGGAATGGTAATTTTCTCCAACTTTCCCATGTTTGATTTTAAAACCTACAAAGACAAGGAACATAAAAGTGAATACAGTCTTATGAAAATCAATCATGAACTTCACACCACGTATCTAATGTATTTTCTTTTAAAAAGTTACCCTAGACTTTAGTTTACTGTCTTGGTTAAAAACATATGTGCTTGCTGCACTTATCACTGGATGTCCAAACATGCATATATCTAATTTTTTTTTTACCACTAAAAATAGTTAATCACCACTGTTACCAGTACGCAATGTATAATCCAGTTGTAAAATGTCAAAGTGAAAAACCCAAATTAACCCCAGGTCCATCTTTCTGTAACTGTTAAGGAAGAGTAATGAGCTATCTTCCCAACACATATGCCAACCTGTTTCTGATAAAGGTTAGTATTTTTACAATAGGATGTTGTTGAGACATTTTCTAATGCTTTCATTTTGATTGGTTGAAGAGTCTGGTTAAAAATAAAAAACTATGTTAATAGGTATGCTATTTACCTTTAAGATAGATACTTTTTAAAGGCTATTTCAGAATAAAAATTTTATTAGCAGGAGCTAGTCTTGAGTAAGTGTAGTGTGTTTTGGTAATAGTTACTAAGTATACACTGAAAAATTATCTCCCAGTTTCTAAAAACAAAAATTTTCAGATATTTAAATACTAAAATAAAAACTTGAATAATAAATAATATCATTTTTTATCATCTTTTCCAGTTATACATACTTATAACAAATCAGAAAAAAATGTTTCTTGTCTTGCCACTACTTTCTGGTTTGACAACTGCTTTCAAGAACATCGCTGCACTAATTCTAATCACTTTCCTAACTCAAGTGATCCTAATAGGAAGGCATGACGGGATGGAAAGCATAAGGTAATCCATTAGATCACTGCCCTTCCAACACTTGTAGTATGGCTGGTATAGGACACCAAAATAGAAAGCCAAAGCACAAGGTAACACATTCTATGTCAATAAGGTAGGAAGCTGCTAACAGCTTCCTGGTTTTAATACCATTCTAAAAGAAAAAGGGATCTTACCGACTAGAACCAATGAGTACAAAAACTCGCTTTTAGATTGTCATTAATATTTCATAAGAACCATGGTGTTTTAAAACTTGAAAGGAATCGTAAGTTAATTTAAGAAAGCACAGCGGACAAATTTAATTTTTCCAAGGACACAGCTACATAAGTTGCAAATCTCAGTACAATATTCTTTAAACAAATGGCAGTAACTTATTTTTATTTTATTATGAAAAAGTTTGAAATTAAGTCAATAAAATATTCTGATATAAAGTTTATTTAACTTCAAGTCATTTTGGGGGTTTGATCCCGGTGATCAATTATACCCTAGTCCAATAGCACGGCAACTGGACAACATAACGTCAATTCAATTGATAACTCTTCTTTCGAAAATTTCATTAGTAGGGGAACACAAAACTTCCATTCAGTTCGGTACGGTATAAGTTGGAATTGTTAAACAAATTCCGTTCGTCTGATAGACTAGGACACAAAATATATCGCTTCGAAGAGACAAGAACTCTGCCGCCGCTCCTGCCAACTTTGAAAGTGAAAAATTACAGTTAAGTAGGTTGGCCTGGCGAGGGGCAGAGCCCCAGTTGGATCGGTGTCCTCATAGCTCAGCGAAAAGCAAGCCAAACGAATCAAGTCGATGTAGCCCATTCCAAATCCCACACCAGGGCAGTGTGAGAGTATGTACGCGCGTCGCCAACTAGTCTTGGAGCTACCCACGGTCAGCAAGCCGAAAGCGGCCCCTCCCTTCCCCTACCAACCCCACCAGGCCTCGCCTCCTTCACTAGCGCCGGAGCGCTTCGCACGTCGCGCGCTGACGTCACCACCGCCCCGCCCCCTCCGCGGGCTCCTTTGCGCCTCACCCCACCGCGCGCCGGGAACGCAGAAACCCCCTGGAACGCCGCCAGCCTTCTAAATCGGGGCTGTTGCTGGGGCGCAGCCGCTCCTCTCATTGGCTGGTTCCCGAGAGCCAATCAGCAGCGCCACCGCATGCCTTCCCTCCCCTTTCTTCCCCTCAGCAAGAACAGAGCAGGCGTCACGGAAACTTCCCTCCCGAGTAAACAGCCGCCCCTCACCTCGGCCTCCCTCCTTCATGCAGGGCCCAAACCCTCGAGCCTAGCTGTGGCCGTCTAAGTGCCGGAACTCCCGAACTGTCGCCATGCCCCTTCGCTGCACTCACCTCGCTACTGAACGAGGGTTGGCCTGGCGCCGCGGGCGGCAGCGGACCAGGGAAAGGGCTAGCTTCCTCAGTTTGAGTTGCGGTCGCAGGACCCGGGGCCGAGGCGGCGGCCTGGTCCGGGACTTCCTGCGGTCCGCTCTGGTCCGTTGAGGGGCTCTGCCCACTCTCCAGGCTCGGCCGGTGCTGCTGGTACTGGTGGAAGCGGCTGGGCAGCTGCCCTGCCGGACTGGCCCGCACCTTCTTCTTTCGCCGCTTCTTTGGCGCGGCCCGAGGGGTGCCCCCCGCCGGGGCGAGGCTGCAGTTGGGCAGAGGTGCTGGTGCACGAGGCTGAGGGGCTAGACAATGACCGTCGCCCCCTAAGAAATGAGGAAGGAAAAAGGTGGGGGGCAGTGCCCGGGGATCCGGAATCCGGGGTAAAGGCGGCGGAGCCGTGGTCACCATCGGGAGGGCCCCGAAGTAACCGCGGGCGGAAAAGCCCAGGGGTGCAAGGCGACCACCCAGGACAAGTGGCTCCCGCTGCGGGACGGAGACGACGGTCATAGCGCTCGGAGGAAAGTAGGTGAGCAGGAAGAAAAGGAGCAACGGCTGCTGCTAAGAGCGCCCCAGAGGAGCGAGGACTGAGGATCGGGCGGTGGCGGCGCAGCAACAAATAGCCTAAGCTCCAGCTCCTAGTGTTGTTATCAGAAGCTCCGCCCTACACCCGCCTACCTCCCTGTAAAGACCCAATCAGAATTCAACAGGGCAAACCACGCCTCTTCGGCCCTGCCTCCACAGCCTCTGAGAGAGACACAAACAACTAGCTTGCTGCAGCCGGGCACAAAGGACGCGCACTGCGCAGGCGCTGCCAACGGCCTCTTTTGGGGAGTCGGTCCCGCGAACAATGAAGTTCGGTTTCAGCCCCACCTCCCCCCACTCTTCTCCTTCCTCGTCCTCGCACCTCGCCCTGAAGCCAGAGGTCAGACTGCTAGATCTAGGCTGAATTTGGAAATGGGTTTGGGGTGCAGGAGGGAGGGAGAAAAAATCTGGAAACGTCAAGGCCACCGATCTTGGGGAAGAGATTTTTATTTCAAGTCTAACATAATAACATTATTGTTAGTTTTTAATAAGATTTCAAAGTACGTGATGGGGATTTCTTTCCTAGCAATCATGAAGAGAATCAGCCCACATTTATATTTGATAAAGTGTGGTTAACGTTTGTTTCATTTACTCGGCTGAGCAACGCTGCTTATTAGCCTTGGAAATCACAGTAAGAATTAAGGGAGTGACTTGCTGATTGAATCGGCCCTTTAGTATGTAAAAACTTCTCCGTAAATCCGTAACTGGGCATAGGAAGTGTTACTTACTGCCTTCGCACTTGAAGGACTGTGAGACTTGTGGGATCGCAAAACGGCGCCTGATACTAAGTATCAGGCAATGGAGGAAGCTTGCATCCCTAAGGGAGAAAGTGAAACAGCTCTGCAACATAGTGTTATTTTGCTACCTGTGTGTTAGAAATATCACTCTCATCATGTCCCCGCGCTGCGCTCATACTTGAAAAGAGTTGTGGCTGTTTATCAAGCACTTATGTACCAGGAACTGTTTTTTTACATAAACTACCTCATTTGAACCTCGTAACAACTCTAAGGAATAGGTACTATATCCTCATTTTACAGGAGAGAAAACAGGCTTAGAGGGCAAAAAGTACTCGTCAAACATCATACAGTAAGTTAATAGAATTTGAACTCCAGTACATGTTTGGCAAGAATAAAATGTTAACATCATCCACGCTACCAGCCACACTCACTAGATTGTAGGCTTTTAGAACACCACCATAATCTTATCCTACAGAGGATACTTCTCTATATCCTCACAGTCTCTAACCAATGTTTTTCAGCTTTGTAGTGCTTGATAAGTGTTATGATTGATAACCAAATTAGAGAGAATATGCAGAATAATGCTTCTCAATAATTTTATATAAACTTTTAATACTATATGCCATCATTATTGATAGCTGGATTTTATCACATTTGCTGGATTTTATTTTTTGTGTTTCCAACACTTATTACATGGTAAGTGCTCCTGTGCATTGGATGAATGGGAATCATATACTTACAGAGCTGTAAAAGATCTTAGAGAACCTTTAATTCAAATCCTGAGGTCTGCAAATCGAAGTTGGGCTTAGGATCCAGTGAAGAGAATAGTGGAAAAACTGGTGAAGACCAGGCAAAGATTATGGAACCTTGGAAGTCAGTTCAGTGGGGCCCTTGATCAAGGATACTTATTATTGTCTGTGTGTATCTCTTGAGTGAAGGAGTTATTGTGTGATATTTTGTTCATCCTTTGAGACCTGAAGTGTAGGCCTCTTGTTAGACCCTGGATTCTGTACTTTAAGAAAGTAAGCTTGCAGCTGTGGCCCCTGGGTGAATGGTGCTAAAATGGTGGCCACCACTAAGAGACTGGGAGCTGTAATGGACCAGCAGAAGAGAGCAATCCAGGTTGTATAAATCAGATTATTGGATTTTGTGTTGTTCTTTTATATAGTTCCTATAGATCCTTAGTCTTTAGTAAAGTCTAATTTTAATTTTTCATCCTGGTTTCATTTGTGATATAAAGGAAAAGGTCAGATGCTCTTGTCTGGGTCCAAAGAGCCAATCATGGAGGAAGCAAGACATTCCAAGGATAAAATATCTTGGGAGGTCTCCCGGTTCTTGAAGATTTTTGTTCCAGTGCATACCTTGGTTTTATATTTGCTCAGTCAAATTCCTTTTCTTTAGAGGAACTTTTTAAAACAATAAACATTTGAAAAGTAAACCAGGTATTAAACAGCAGGGAAAGAGATAAAGGCTATGTGTGAAATAAGTAGTTTACCTGCATTAACACTTCAGAGCCCTCTGAATTCCTCTGTCCACTCTCCTATCTTTGTCTCTCACCCATTTTGCTTGTCTTCTCCCTTTCTCTACCTTAAATATCACCTTTCTCTTCTCCTGTCTCAGAATGTCTTTCTTCCCCCCTCACTGTGACTTTATTTATATTTCCTCTATTGTTTCTTAGATCTTAACTAAGCTCTAAGTGACACCTGTGTGAAAAAAGGAACTCTTACTCCAGTTGATACTTTCCTTAATGCTCAAATTATTAATCTTTCAAACGTATGAAATAATATCTCTCTTAAGTATTGAACACAATGAGGAAATAAAAATGTTTAAACTTAACAAGTAAATACTTCTCTGACATTGAAGCATTGATTACAAACCTTATTTCATCAACATACTTGGAAAAGTTTAATTAAAATTTTAAGGTTTATACTTAAAAGCAATCAAAATTTTCACAATAATGACAAAATTTACATTGTCACTTAAATTGCTTCTGAAGTATTATTACCACAGGTTGAAATTAATGTCTTCATTATCCCTATAACTTATACCTTTCTGGGGTTGCAGTAATGTTACCACATGTTTATTTTTTCTTAAACTTTCCTAAGGGGGACAGCAGGCCTGTGCAGGTTGTGCTTTGCTGTTGGGCCCCTGGCTGAAGGGGTGAGAGAGGGAACTGAAAGACAGCTCTCACTCTGCTCTTCAAGTCATCTTCCAGGGGGCTGCCACCTGGAGGAAGGGATGGATGTCTTTTTCTTAAAAGGACTAGTGGTAGCCCTGTGATACTATAATAATATTATGGATACTTGATTCTATTTCATCCTAGATGTAAAATCAAAAGAAAAAACATGTTTGGACCAGCTGAGGTTTCAACCAATAGAATCTTAGTTGGGTCACAGGCCTGGTTGTGCCTTCTGGCTGGCTCTCCTTTTATACAATGATAAAACTTTTTAAAATCCTTGCCTTTCACAGAATGAAACCCAATGTCTTTCCCAAAATAGTGTATTTTTGAAGTTACATTTGGCCACCTTATAAAGGAACCCAGTTTCTTATGATCATATATTGAATTAGACTATTCATTTTAACTAATTTTGTCTCATTAATTTGTTATAATTAATAGGACCATTGAAAGGTTTCATCTTGCATGGGACAGGGATGGAATCTACACAGTTGTCTTCAGGACATTTGGCAAATTATCATCTTGAAACACACTATTGAATTCTCTTTCTACTTGGTCATTTTGTGACCTCAGTGTTGATTAAATGTTGGATCTCCTTTCTACCTTGTTGTTATGTGTGGCAGATGATGTGGAGTAGTTCTTTCTGTTCTTGGGATAGTTGATATTTTTTGTTCAGGTCTACTTGGTTGATTCTCAGTTCTCTCTATTCATCCCTCCCTACTTTCACAACTAGAGAAAAAGCATGTTTATATATGCTTTAGATTTCTTTTAAAACACAGACATATAACTCTCTGTATTCAACTTTTAAAAAATTAACATAGGGCTGGCCAAGTGGCGCCTTGGGTAAGAGTTGACTTGGGACGTCAGCTCTGAGCAGCAGAGCCCCGGTTTGGAACCCACATTAGGGCCAGTGACACTGTGCCCTCTACAGCTAAGATGGTGAACAACAGCTCGACCTGGAACTGGGCTGCCGTGAGTCGCCAGCGACGGCATAGGCTGTAGTGGAGCTGCAGGGAGCTGCCATAAGCTACCATGAGCGGCTGGCAGCCAGGGTGAGCTGCCAAGAGCCTCCGTGAGTGGCCATCCAGTGGCCGGTGATCGATCTACCTCACCCAGGAAGAGCACAATGATAATACCAACATGGGCCAGTGAAGTGACGTACTCCACAACCAGACTGAAGAATAACAGGACAGCAACTTGTCTGTTCCCCTTCCCCGATTCCCCAAAGCTGTTCCCCTCCCCCATTCCCCAATAAAATCTTTAAAAAAAAAATTAACATCTATATTATCACATTCACTATAAAGCCAAACTACCTATTACTAAATTGTAAACTTTTTCTTTTGGAGAAGCATAGACTTTCACAGGTTAACAGTTTCAATTATCTATAATCATTTTCCCTTTTTTGTTCAAATCTTTAGAGGTTGGCCAGTGAAAGCCCTTTAAACACATAGAGAAAGACCAAAAAATGTTTGGGCTGCACAGCCAAAGAACAACCACAACCACCTTCAGAGAGAAGCTCAGAATGAAGCTGTGATGTTGCTATTTTGCCAAGTTTTCTCTGAGATATTGATTATGACTTGCAGCCAAATATGACTCACTGCTATAAATGCTATCTCTAAAATGACATCATTAGCTTTCTGAGTTTGAGGAGAGAGAAAAGGGTGATATTCTGGCCTAACTAGTAAGTTAACGTAGTACAGTTATTCTTCACATGTACAAGTGTATATAATGTGATTAGGTTAAATACTGACATGAGGGGTTCTTTTAGATACAGCCCAGCCACATCACCCAATATTGATGTTCACTATCCAATAACACATGCTATGTACACAATCTTACAATCAGCTTCTTATTGCTATACCCTAAAGTGTAAGCTAGTCAGGATCACCAGAGTTTTGAAAGTCAAAACAAACATGAGAGAAAAGAATTTGCAGTACACAGAAACAGAGAATGCAAGAAGGTTTTAAAAAGCCCCTCTAATTTAGCCTCAGGCATTAGAAGTATAGTACATTCATGAAACAAAAACAAGATGCTATAATAAGGAAAGAATACAAAAAGAACTATTGAAAATTTAAAATACCATGGCAGAAATAAAAATTCCAGTTGAAAAGTTAAA